CCTAACAAGTATTGAAAGCTTTCAGATTTTTTTACAAATTATGCTTCAGTGCATCCTGGTTTGCAAAACACTACAGCAATGAAAGCTGCCCAAAGGAACAACATGCTGCAGCCCTTCCCATGTGCATTGCACATGGTAACAGGAAAGAGGCAACTTAATGACAATCACCCCAGAATTACAGTTCGTAACCCCAGTTATTCTCCTGAGGCAGACAACTGCTTTATCTGAGCAGCACAAAATGAGGCTTTGACCCTCTGTTGTTCATCCCAACATTCTCTTCTCCTTAAGTCCAGGCTAACTGTTCTCTTTGTAGCATGTTTCTATAGTGACCAACTGCTAAACTGATACTCGATGCATTTCCCTTTTCACCTGCCTTACTTCAGACTTGGAAACTCAAAATGTCATTTAAACAACATTCCAAAAATTGAGCCTCGAGCTGCAGTAAGATGGTATGGTAGACTACTTCATCTCTCTAACTTCCCCAGTTCTTGAAACAATGCAAACCCAAATAAATGCAGCATTTATAGATGAAAGTAAAATTCTTCATGGCTCACTAACAATTACTAATACAGCTAATATAAAAAGGACCGGGAAAAAATTAATTCCCAGTACCTTAGAAAAGTATCAGACTCTTCCTTTCAAGGAAGTTTTTAATTTCTTCAGCAGCTTTTTGACTGTTTATTGTGCCTTGGTTACATTAACAGCACTTTGCCCCAAGTGCAGCAGCCTTCCTAGAGAATAACCACCAAGATAGGCTCTACATGCAGGCAGAGCACTATGCTCCCAGGAGGAGACAGGGGAGATCGCTCATATGGCAACGAAACATCCTCCCGAGATAAAGACTAAAAACAATGCAGTAGGTTGGAAGTAACAAATTTTAAAAAGGGACTCAGCTGGTTAAAGTTTTACATATGCAAACAAACAGTATGAGAGGGGAAAGAGAGTGAGATGTGAAGCAATGAGGAGAAAGATCAGGTGTATCTATCTTCCTGGAAGCTGAAAGAAGTAAGATATTAAACTGTGCTTTCTGGTAAATTGCCACTGCCAGTTATTGACAAAGTTGTCAACTATACAGGATTATGTAGACTGATGATACCTGAAGAAATGGGGATTTAGAAACACTGGGGACTAAAAGGAGATAGGAATGTGTCACAGATGATAAATGGAGTGGATTCAAAGTAAAAGAGCAAAGAAGCCAGCTTCAGAGGGTATAAGTATATATCCTTAACTAGCATACTAGAGTACTGCAATGAAACCATTTACCTACTTTCAAAGTTGGATTTTAGAAAATAAATGTAACCTAGAAGATGAAAGACCATGAATGTTCTATGCCATAAGACTGCTTGACATAGAATTTATTGAGGTAACTATTTTGCTAATGTTTAAATAACTGAATTATATAAAAAAATGCACTGACTGCCCAGGTCTATAAGCAGTAAGATATTAAATCACCATTAGACAGATTTTACTGAAATTGGTCAGATGATGCATTAGGAAAAGAGGACAGTGCCTGAGTCAATAGTAGGATTTCAAGTAGTTGAGTAACTGTGTAGCTTAATGCACATGGCTAAAGCAGTGACCAACAAGCAAAATGATGGAAGCAACTGGAACCACAATGTTTTTTAACTGGTCTAGAAGTAAGAATTAAGTTTTATTTTGAGACAAGGGATGTGAAAAGTGTTTTGAAATTCTTGGAAGAAGCATCCTACAATATCACAAAACTCTGTTCTATTACAAACACCCTCTGCTGAAGAGTTAAGGATATTTGCTACCACAGTTTCTCAGTAGAATGAAAGATTTCATTCTCATATGTGTTCACAAAGAGATAGTTGGCAGGTTAGGATTTCAATCCAAGATTTGAAAGAGCTAGGCATAAATCAGTTTTGGCATTGACTTGCTTGGTCACTCAAGCTGCTTAGCTCTTCTGTATTTCACTTTTGATATACAGTGGACCAGCAATTCCCACCTCCCAGGCATTTCACCAGGATACGGGTATCCACAACCAAGATATTATGGACATAATTGTAAGACTGCATGAAAAACCTTGACATAAGAGGCTTTGAGATATTACATTTGGCAACAACCCTGTGTTTTTTATCCTACCCTTCTAAAATAATTTTGGTTACTCATATTAAATAAATTCTTTGATCCCAGCACATAAAGGCTTTATTTCCCACACTGCTAGCTAATCCACTGTTCCAGTCTTAAGTGAGACAGGGCACTACTACCAAGAGAACTCGAAAGGCAGTGGCTTTTTTACACAATTATGGAGGCCTCAACTAAACAGTGCCTTGAGCAACTAATTTTCATCCCTCTGCTTTGATTGCTGTTGTGGCTTCCATCTGCCTTCGAAAGGCAGTGACTTTTTTACACAATCACGGAGGCCTCAACTAAACAGTGCCTTGAGCAACAGAAGCTAGAGCTTCAATACATGCCACCAACAGGATTTCTCCTTCCTAAGAAGCAACGCTAAAAAACAGCCAACTGCACTAGGTTTTGAAAAAATACGGTATGATGACTGAACTGCACAGATTAAAATGAGTCTTAAATGCCATATTACAATCCAGATGAAAGAAAAAGTGCTTGGCTTGGGCAAGCACGAGATCAGTATTATATAAACGCCCCCCCGGCCCCCAACCAGTAAATGCAACAGAACACAGAAATGCAACAGGGAGGAAGGCAGTGGCTGTTTTCCCACGGACTAATAAACTTCCTAGCTGAACAGCACTTGTCTTCTGACTGGCACGTGATGAACATGACAATATGCCTGGCTCACATTACAGAAAAATGACAGCATAATGCGCTGAAGGCACCCTATTTGTCTTCAAGTTACTTTCACTGATTAGGAAGAAAAGATGCAGAATGCCAGCTGATGGTATTTAGGAAAGGTGAAACCTCTGAAACAGAAGTTAGCAAAGACTAGGCAGAACATGTTGACAGGACAGAGAAGGAAAACTGAAAGATTAAATTGACTGCTGTTGTAGATAATCATTGAAAACCAATGTGCTTCAGTCTGTACCTGCCTACCCAGCTCCTCCCTCAATCTGGGTCTGAAGTCATGGGCAAGTGTAATACATTATTTTAGTGCAGTATATAATACATATAATGTAACACATGGTATTAGCTTCCAAAGAAATCTTTATAATGGCTGTTGCAGCATTCAACTCAAAATACAACTTACAATTGCAGGATTCCTCAGTCTTTGGATTGCTGTTTTCTACTCACAATAAAAAGAAAGTTAGGAAATAAGGAGAAAAAAAAAAAAAAAACAACACGAACACTTAGTTTTGGCTTGCTTTGCATTAATTTTTCTGCAAGACATTGTAACACTCTGCTGGGCAAAACCAGATGAAACAGCAAGGAGCTGTGAACCAAAACTGACTGAACAGTAAAACAAAACCAGCCTGCACAGACTGAAAGAGATTAGTAAGGAAAGGTAACTGAGGTAACGTACAGCTGACCAAAAGCCTGAGAAAATAAGGGGCCCAGATGCAAACTATTAAGCAAATAGCATTCGCAATTTATACTTAGTTCTCCAAACACTGTCTGAACAAGAAAGTAACATTTTTCATAACATCTTTAAAATGAGTCACCTTGAAGGAGCTGTCAGCCTGACAAGCACCAGTTCTCTAACTCCAAAAACAATTGTTGCAATATTTAGGATAACAGGAAGCAGAACTTCTTAAAGCAAAAGACTTTTGTCCATGAAAAACTCAATTATGAGCTATGAAATCTGCAGTGCATGAAGCTGGTAAAGAAATTTAGCTGTAACTCATGCATTCATAACATTGTTTTCCAGGAGAAGGTATGACAAACCTTAAGCAAACCTTCAGAACAGTTTTTCTTTTTTATTTTAGGCATTACATTTATATATATATATACACTTTTAAATACGACAACCATAGTAAAAATAGAACAATTTCAGACGGTAGCAGGGACACAGATGAAAAAGCAAACTCTTACCAAAGAAATGTGCAACATCACATGCATTTTTGGGAAATACTAGTTACATCTTACTCTGACCTCTGAAGCATGATACAGAGAGAAGTTAAATCTTTTTCTCATTAGCCCCCAGACTGCAGTATAGCTGTCCATCTAGTTTCAGACTCCTTGTTCTGTTCTACAAATGACTCTGCTCAGTTCTCTATGCTTGGAATGCTACTCATTTGTAAACCAAGGAAAGACTGCAAAAAAATCCCTGTTTAAAAATAACATTCTAATAAGTGACTTCTAGAAAACAATTTTTAAAAAAAAAAACCCAAAGCAAAGTTTGATAACACTTCTTGCCGTGTTTATTACGTATGTTGACATACATTTGGCAAAGATACATGATTGTATCTCTACTTTTCAAGAAACTAATTATAGACCATTACAAAGTGACACAGTGTATGCAATTACTAGGTTCTGGGTCAGGTTTTCATACTGCAAACGTCTGGTTTTGTTTCAGTCGTCCAGATGATTCTGCTTTTAGCTTGCCTGTGTGATCAACAACAGTATGTTGGCTTCAAATACGTTTATTTCAGATGTACATATGTGCACGTAGGGCAAAGCTGCTCCCAGTACCTGCCTCTAGATATTGAAGAGAACATTCTTCTAGGGTCTTTACCATCCACACAGACTCATCCTTCCATACCAGTTTTCATGTTGAAGGCTGTCACTCCAAGTCTTTCACTTTGTTAACCAGGAAACAAGTTTTCTAAACCATTTGTTTAGGGACCAGGGAAGAGGACAAATCTTACCAACAGGAAATGCTCCAGAGGGGGAAAAAAAGTCTGCAGTGACAGAAGCAGATACAGAGCCTCAGTAAATACAAGTTTCTCTAACCAAACATACACAAAAACTTCAACCATACAGCAGCTATATTAACAAGGGGGGGAGAGGGGCAAGAATTATCTTTCCCAAGTCACTACTCACATTCTCAACAGGACTAGATTTACATTAAAAAGCATATCAGTCCATTTACCAAGATGTATTGTCCCATTTGCTGCTCTTGTTTTAGGTCAACTGGAAGCTTCTTTTTTCAGTTTTTCTAAAATCTCATCCGGTGTCATTGATACCAAAATCTTCACCACTTTTTCACGTGATTTACCACCCTGGTTTAGACACACACAAAAAACGTCTTTCAGAGAATCACCACCAAATACACATTCCAAGAAAAAAATAAATTGGGTACTTTAAAAATAATTCTTAAAGTGTGAGTATGCAGAATTAACAGCAGTAAGAGATAGCTCATCAATTTCCTTTCTAGTTATTTGAAAGGTGGAAAACAACGCCTTATCTACTCTCCTTTTAAAAGTGGATACAGCTCCCAGAGCATGCCCTGAATTGATGCTCTTTTTACAGGCTAGAACAAAAAGCAACAGTGATAAGTTCCCATAATTCACCTGTATCATGTATAAGCAAGACTCCAATAATTTGCACTTTTGTTTTTAAAAAAAGTGCGTGTCTATATATGTATATTTGATAACTGTGTACTTTCAGATCTTTCTTCAGAGTCTCTCACAGAGAATTAGTTACTCTTAAGCTGAGTCCTCAGGTTGATAACATCAACTAAATGAAATCACATCATATATAACCTACAAGACATTCAGATTCATGCAGTAGTTATTAGAAATATTATTGATGTTTTTGTATTACTGAAAAAAGGCTGTTTTACATAGGAACTGGCAAACCTGCAACCTCATTTCATACTGCCTGAAGACACAGCTTTGCTAGTATTCAGTAAATCGTAAGAAACAAGTTGCTTGTTAACCTGCAGCCTGGAAAAAAGTTTGAAAAGCCCAGAAGGGACATCCTGAAGGAGGAAAAAGTCCTTAACTCTACTATACAGAAATATAGTATGAAATTTAAAATTAAAAATAGATTTTTGAAGCAGTCTAGCCAGTTGAGGACAAAAACCAAAGGCCTTGCACAGAAATCTGGTAACCTCAGTAACCAATTTCCCTAATTTGGATTGATTTTGTTAATGTTAGTACTTATCATAAAGCAAGTAGCACATAAGAAAGCAACCGGTACCACTTGCTATTTACGCCTAGCAGATCAGGATGGAAAAATCTAAGCCACAGGTAAAATACAGACTTTACCGCAACGCTCCACTGAGAACAAATAGTGGCTTGTGAAAAAAACACCACTAACATGTAATTATTTGGACATTGTAGCTCAGAAGGTCAAACAACACTGTTCCCTTTTATGTTCAACTCTGCTTAGCGCTTGTGAGAATAATCTAGTTAAACCTGAACATCCCTTTAAGGTAGGAAAACAGTGTTATCTGTAAAACGCTGATAAACAAATGAAGCAGTTTGCCCATGATTCAGGAAAAGCAAGTCACATCTTTTTCTCCCTTTTGGTAACAGTGTCAATTCATTGATCACGTTGCCATTTAACAGACTTCTATGACTACTACATTAAACCAACAGACAAAAATAAAAAGCACAATTTTTCATTGTGCTCTTGTGTTCATAAACTATACATGAACATGGGTGGAAAGACTAACTGTAAGTACAATGAATTAATAAAACAAATTATTTATTCAGTGCAATGAATAAAACAACAAGTTTCCGCTTGTCAAAGTCAAGACATGTAAATTTTAATACAAAGAAACTCTTGAACCCAGCTATAATCCAAGTGCTTATATATGCTCTTATATATGCTTATGTGTGACAGTTAGTCAGAAAATTTTCACTCAAATACAGAAATGACTTCAAAAAAATGAAAAGTTATTAATAAAATGCATATTTGCAAAGCACAAAGTTTTTGAACTGTGTTTCACATGAAAACAAGAGAATCTTCAAAGAATACAGAAAATACAAACCACACAAACCTGGAAAATATATCATGGCACGAACTATTCTGATTAAAGATCTCAAGATCAGTTATGGTTCTTTCTATACAAGGTTCTTCTCAATAAATCACTCCATTAACTCAAACAAACATCTTTAAAGTGTCTTTTGGACTAAACTTGGAGAGCAGCTCCCCGTACTCAGTAAGTTTCAAAATCTTGAATTTAAATCGCAGTAGAATAAAACTGAAAGAAAAAACAGAAAGGAAGTACCTTCTCTAAAATAACTTCACTCTTCTTCACTTCTAGCACCTTAGAGAGGTAGCGACACAGCTCTGCATTTGCCTCCCCTTCTGATGGAGGTGCAGCAATAGCTACACCTACTGCCTCAGCTGTCACATCTATAACAAATATTTTAAGGATTTTTTTCTCAAAACATTCAAAACATCTAATTATTGTCTCTTAAAAAAGGAATGTTTATGCTTTCAAAGGCATTTTAATTTAAAACCAAATAAACTTTTAGATTAGCAGGTAACAACATTTTCCCACTTCACACATTCCCTTCAGTTAAAACTGTTAGCCAGTATAATCTTCTGATACAAAGAACAGCAAAGCCTTCACACCTGTATCATGAGTGCAGCCATGAATCACCAGTTTTCACACAACCGGGGCACTGTTCCCAGCCCCTCTCTATGTTGCCCATTCAGATGCAGGTGTAGTCCAGCCCGGCATCACGCAGCAGAACACAGATCACGTTACCCCACCAAAACCCCCATGATAAATAAGTCTGCCCAGGCAGCCACTTTCTTTGTGCTGCCAGTTGCGCCTGGATACTCTGCTGCCGCCCACCGCGTCAGTCTCACCCGCACCTCCGTACAAAAGGCAGTTCTAACTTGTACTTCAGCAAGTCCAGATTTGTAGAGGGAGAGCACGTTGTATTAGCTCAGGCTTTTCTAGTTCAACTACCACCGCACAACCCCTGGGGATACAATCAGCACGTGTCACGCCGCAGGGCTGATGACGGGTGTTCGGGTTACCCCTCTCACACACATTTGTCCCGCAACACTTACACGGGGCTCACTGCACCACCCAGCGTCACCCCGCGGGAACGCGCCAGAGCTGCTCCCGGCTTCTTGCAGGAAAAGTGTGAAATTACTACTTCACTTTTCTGATAATTTTTTATCATTTTTTGGGGCAGCTTACGGGGCAGAGACAAGCTGCTGAGCACCCCGAAAGACCAGCCGGAGCAGCCCGCTT